AAATGAAACTTCTTTTGCTCAAGTAAACAGATTTTAAAATCAAGATTTATAATCAACAAGAAAATAAAAGTTCAAAAACTAAAACCCTACTGGGTAAGTCTTTGGTTAGATTATATATAAGCATTAACAACTCTAAGTTTAGGACTCAAAACAGTAAGTTCGATAAACTGCCAGTTAAGAGTAGGTCTTTATAAAATGCTTGGCATGTTTGCATTTACTATATGATATTTTTTAAATGTGCATGTACTCAAACAGATGATACAAACTTCCAACTTTCAAATCATAAATGAGTATGTATGCTTCTCCCTTCCCACCCTTCCTACCCTTTCCTCCCTCCCCACCCCACCCCACCCGCCAAGTTTTACAGCTAAAGGAAGGTCCTACTGGCATTCACTGCAAGAATACAGGCTTTCCTAATACCCACGACCGATGTGCACTTACTGCCCAGCTCCCTACACTGGGCACTTGTCAGGTGACCTCCTACAGCGCTTGGAGACCTGAGCAGCCTTGCACCCTTAATCGGCGGCATCCTTTCTCCCTCTTGCCATTAGCTGCTGCCATGTCAGCCAGTGGAATCAAAGATTTCTAGCGAGCAGCAGCTTGAAAAGGGCGCCTCTGCAGGCAGGAGGATCACTTTCTGTAAGTTTAAGCCACAGGCGGAGACCTTTTATTCTGTACGAGAAAGGATCCTTTACTGTGCCGGTGCTAAATTCTACTTTACGTGTAACTTTTCAAAACTTCATTCATTTACAGTTGCTGAACTGCCTCCATGGGGTCCTAATTTCAGGTTCAGAATCTTCCATCCAGCCTTCTAAAACTCTACCTTCAAAAGAGGCCAAAAAGACTGTGTAATGACCTTGTAAAACACTAACCTCAGTGTAACCAATCCTGATCTCTTAAACCCCCATTGAGTCATAAGGGCTTGAGAAGATTTCAAGGAATCTTCCACACACTGGACACGGTCCAATCAGGTTCTGAACAATTCAATCATTCCCAGGTACTTGGTGACTCTGTGGCCACACTGCCCCACCAGATCCAGACTGAGGTACCATCTGGGGGAGGGGTGGTGTGAGGCAGGGAGTAGAAGGAAGCAAGGAGTGGGAGGTGGGGGTGGGGTGGGGGTTTCTCTGGTTTCTCTCGGTTCAGGACGTCCAAAGCAAACGAAGAAGCCGAGAGGATTTGCGGCTGCAGGTTCTGAAGTGGAGGGAGGGTGGGCGGTCAGATATCGCCCAGCTACTACTGGAGGAAGAGATTGGAAGGGGGGGAACCAGGGGACAGAAGTGGGGGCAAGAGGATCTGTGATCATCTCTCGGGCAAGAAGGGGAGTGGGCGCTGGAGTCGCGAGGGGGTCTGGGGCGCTCACTCCCTACAGAAGACGTACTCGGTGTAGCTGGTCCAGATCTTGTCCTCGCTCTGGTCGGTGCTGCTGGCAAAGGCGCAGGTGCCCGTGGAGCTGCACGCCACCATGTGGAAACCCGACTCGGACAGCTTGTCAAAGGCCTGCTCCAGGAAGTTGAACTTGAGGTAATAGCGCGAGGTGTAGCGCTCCGGGGGACGGTCAGGGTCCCGGCTTTCATTCAGGGTGTCCCCAAACACCTCCTTGGCCAGCGACGTCTTGCCGCACACGGTGATGCGCGCCACTCGCCGGAACTTGGCGTCCGCCTGCGCGTCCCGCCCGATGGTGTAGGAGCCGCGGTAGCCGATGGTGATGTAGCCCGAGCGCCGGCTGCCGTCCAGCGACTGGGACGGCGTGAGCAGCGGGCCCGCCGCGCCCCCAGACGGACTGCGGCTAGCCAGCTCCAGCGTGGGCGACGGCGCCCCGGCAGAGGCGCCCTCCTGCTGCTCGGGCTCCGCGAATCCGAGCGGCAGCAGCTCGTCACCCAGCGAGCCCTCCTTGTACACCCCGCGCCGCGAGGGCGGAGGCGGCGGCCCGGGGCCGGGCTGCTGGGGCGCCCCGAGGCGGCGCACGAGCTCCGGCAGCTCGAAGTACTCGGCCTCGCGCTGCAGCCGGCTGCGCTCGGGGAAGTAGTCGGGCAGCACTAGCTGCAAGTCCCGCAGGTAATCCAGGATGTAGCGGAAGAGGAAGCCGTCTCGGTCCAGAAAGAAGCGGCCTTTGCTGTCCCGGGCCAGCTCCTGCGGCTGCTGCTGCGTGAACATGCGCCAGAGCAGCGAGTCGGGCACCGACACCACCGTGCAGCGCCGGGTCACGTACACCTGGCCCCCCACGTTCAGCTCCACGATGTCGGGGAAGAGCGGCGGCTCCGCAGAGGACGACGAGGAGCCGCTGCCGCCGCCGCTGCCGCCCCCGCCGCCGCCCCCGTTGGGTAATCCACGTGTGCTGTCCGCCAGAGCCATGACAGAGGTGGCCCGGCCGGGACAGTGGCGGGGAGCCGCGCCGCACTCAGGAGCTGCAGCCACCTGGCCCGGAGCCCCGGAGCCCGGACGCTCGCTCAGCCCTGCGCCCCGCCGCCGCCTCCACCTCCGAGAGCCGCGCGGAGCAGAGCAGTGCTAGCTTGCTGCTGTGCGCCCCGTGAGCTCCGAAGTGCTCCGCCCGCCTTGCCCGCGCGCTCCAGGCGAGTGCCGGGTCACGGCCCGCGCGCTGCTTAAGTAGAGCCGCCTGCTCGGGCGCCGTGGCGCGCAGGAGGCGTGGGCGGCGGCGAAGCGGCGGAGCCTAGCTCGCCGGGCGTGTGGGGGTGGGGAGGAGCGGGGACTCGATTTGCATTTTAAACGCGGACACCGCGCGAGGTTGCTGGCTCCACCCCGGCTTGCGAGCGCTGGGGGTGCCTGGACTCCCGCCCTCTCCCGACCTACCAGTCCCGCCCCGTGATCCCGCCCAACTTTCTACCTCTTTCAGCAGGACCCGCCCGGGATTAGGCTGCTTCGGAAGACAGCTCCTTAGAGGGACAGTCACTGCGCCCCTCCCCCTCTGTCCCCAGCCCGCACCCGGGGACTCTGGAAGGAGAGCATGAACTTTCAGGCGCCTCCCGCCCGGGGAGTGGAAATGCGTGGCCGCCTCCGGCCCGCCCGCCTGCGGAACTGGCCGCTTCCAGCAGTGCAGCTGCGGCCTGCCGTCGAGTCACTGAAAGTAGAGAGACGCGAAAAACCTGGAGAGACAAAAGGGCCGCCCCAGTCCAAGCGCGCAGCCAGATTTTGTTCAAGTTGCCTTGCAGCCAGCCTGGGAAAAAAAGGAAAAGAAAAAACCTAGAAACAAAAAGCACACCTCAGTGTCTCGCAGTAGGATGCTTTATGATCGTTTATTTTCTAGGTGCAGAGACAAAATGAGATAAAGATCAGCTCTTAATTGCAATGCCCTCTTCTTGCAAGGTGTTCGAGGCCAGACTGAAGTGGAGGGGTAAGACTCCGGAACCCTCGATCCCCGGGTTCCACTCAGTCTTCGTTGAATCGCACCAGAAAACTGAGAACAGTTGCAGAGCTAATGTAATTTTTAAAACCACCTTTGGTCCTTGTGTGTTTATCCTCCCAGAAGTTCAGGCACCCCTTCTCTCCCGCACGCCTTGGTCACTCTTTGGCTCTCTCCAGGTTCCCGTCAATCTCAGAGAGGGATATTTATATATCTGAAGGCCCTTGTCTGGATCCCATCTCTCAACTCCTGCTGCCTGCACATTTGCATTTACCCCCTCGGACTGCAGCCCACAGAACGCCTCCTCCCCTTGGAAGCTTTTCCTGGCTTCCCAGGTGGGTGGGGCCCCTGGATGTCTCCCTACACACGGTCTGCACTGCGCCCAGCACGTTCTGAAATGTCATATTTATGAGTGATTGTCTGATCACTGATTTGGGTATAAAATCAGCTCCTGGATGCTGCAAAAAGAGTGCAGAGGAGGGTATCAAGACATGCCTGGGTCAATGAATGTTCGTTGGGCACCTGCTATTGTTTGCAGGGCACCAGGGAATGAGGAATGCAAAGGCGAATAATCTCAAAGGCGCTTTCAGTGCTGCCCAATAAGTAAAGGGCCAGAGGTCTGCGCAGTTATCACATCAATTTGAAGTACAGACCGTGCGCATCAGGATAAATCAGGCAAGATCTTTGTTCTTGATAATGTTTATCCTTCTATGTAACTACCCAATGAGCTTCACAGTTTCCTCACAAATAAATGCCATTTTCATTTTGAAATATTTATGTCTGCCAAACAATTATCACACTCATGTCAGTGTGCTGAAATGAGATCAACCCCCAAACCAGTTCTCTTAATTGCAAGTACAGATTTTGATACTGAATGTATTTCACCACTCTTTTTTTTGTTCTGTTCTTTGGGATAAATAATAGATGACACGAAACTCCCAAGACCCAGTGCAGGATTTCTAGGTGGTTATGCTACTAGGTGTTATATTAGTGTCACAGACCTGACAAAACCAGTCTCTTTTCTACAAATCCAAGAAAAGCCTTCTTTGTATCAGTTCTGCACATATTTTTATATAATTACATTGCTCATTGCATCAGCAAATCCTGACGGCTCAATGTTAACAATCTTTCCAGACTATTAATGTATTTCACCATCTCCCTGTCACCACCCTGGACCAAGCCACCATCAACTCTTGCCTGGATTATTGATTGGTCTCCTAACTGCTTCTACTTCTGCTCCTACAGTCTTTTGTCACCAGAACAAAAACAGGGACCCTGTTGATAATCCAAGGCAGGTGTGTCTGCACAGAGCCAGCCAGTGGGCTCCTATCTCAGGAAGTGCAAAATCCAAAGTTCCCTCAGTGGCTTACAAGACTCCACATGTTTGGAGATGTACCACCAGTACCTCTCTGACCCCTCTCCTGCCCTGCCCCCAGGAGCTGGCTGGCTTTGGCCACATAGCCCTTTTCTTGTTTTCTCAGGGCCTTTGTACTTCCTTTATCATTTCTCCTCCCTCCCGTCTTCCTCACCTTGTTCGGGTCCCTCCCTTCTCGGCTTCTTCAGGTCTGCAGAGCAAGAACTTTTCTTTATTCCACTTCTTTTTTTTTTTTTTTTTTGTGGGGGCGACGGAGTTTCGCTCTTGTTACCCAGGCTGGAGTGCAATGGCGCAATCTCAGCTCACCGCAACCTCCGCCTCCTGGGTTCAGGCAATTCTCCTGCCTCAGCCTCCTGAGTAGCTGGGATTACAGGCACGCGCCACCATGCCCAGCTAATTTTTTGTATTTTTAGTAGAGACAGGGTTTCACCGTGTTGACCAGGATGGTCTCGATCTCTTGACCTCGTGATCCACCCGCCTCGGCCTCCCAAAGTGCTGGATTACAGGCTTGAGCCACCGCGCCCGGCCTATTCCACTTCTTAATACAGCACAGCCTCACTGCAGCTTCCCCTTCCCTGCCTTATTTGTTGACTGTTTTCCTACATTAGAATATAAACTCCAAGAGTTCAGCGGTTTTTGTCTGCTTGATTCATTGCTACACCCCCATTGCCTAGAACAGAGTTGGCATATTACAGGCATTTGATAAATATCTGTTGCTCACCCAAGCATTCAATGACTGTTTATTCAGGGCCTACTACTGTGTTCCAGGATGCATGTTAAAAAATAATCACTGCCCTCTAGGAGCTTACAGTCCTGTGAGGGAGACAAATAAATACAGTATAAAGATAAGTAAGCCTATTTCAGGTGGTGATAAATGCCACAAAGAGAATAAAACATGCGAGAGAGGCTCTGAGTGTGGGATACTACTTTATATAGAATGACTGCGGAAGGCATCTCTGTGAAAGTGACATTGACAGCCATGGGAAGTTTTGGAGGAAGAGCATTTCAGGCACAGGGCCAAACAAGTTAAAGGGACTGGGTTATGAGTGAGCTCACAGTAAAAGTTTATGTGTTGTGTCATCTACTTGTATCCTGTGAATCTTAAGTACTCTTGAGATGATCAGTACGAACTCAAATGTGAGTGATACTGTGTGCTTATGCACTGCTAGCAGCATACTATCATCATTCTCTACATCTTGACATAAGGTGATCATCCACCACCAGCTAGTCTACTGCAGAAAAGCCATTGGTGTTTCATTATAGAAGCCAGGTAGTGCATGAGAGACATAATAATGAATGAAACAGGTGACATGAAACAGAAGGAATGTTTTTCTAGTTAATTTTGTGTTTTCTGTTTCTTGCCTATTGGTTGGTATCACAGAATTAAGGAAATACCATTGGGAAACTCTGATGCTGTGACTTGAGGGACTTCTTATGAGAAAAGATTCATAACTCTTTAGCATCTCCAGTATGTTAAATATGCTTAATTGCAAGGGGTTAGGGGAGGATTTGGAAACCCACTAGCCCCATGTTTAGTCGCAACCCAGTTTCTAACAATGGATGCTTTGATGGTCATCACTCCTTTTCAATTAAGTCTTTGTACTTTCCTGAATAAGAGACAGTGTGCCTGTAAGTAACCTTTCCTTTGATCCTAAAGTGGAGGATACTGACATCTCTGGACCTATATTCTCATCTCATTCCCATCTTCTCCCCTACCTACTGCCCTCTTTTCGAACCAGCTTCCCCTCCCACTCCCCACAGTAATTCCTCTTATCCGAAGTTTCCATTACCATGGTTTCAGTTGCCCGTGGTCAGCTGTGGTTTGAAAATATTATATGGAAAGTTCCAGAAATAACTAATTCATAAATTCAAAATTGCACACCATTCAGAGTAGTGTGATGAAATCCCCCACTGTCCTGTTTTGTCTGGCCCTGGACATGAATCCTCCCTTTGTCCAGGGTACTCACACTTCTACACTCGCCAGCCATGAGTCACTTAGTAGCCATCTCAGCTATCAGAGCAACTGTCTTAGTATCACCCTGACACAGTGCTGTGTTCAAGAAACACTCAGTTTATTAAGAAATGGCCACAAAATACAAGAGTAGGGACGCTGGCAATTCAGATATGCCAAAGAGATGCCGTAAAATGTTTCCTTTAAGTGAAAAGGTGGAAGTTCTCAATAAGAAAAAAAAATCACATGCCAAGGTTGCTAAGATTTATGATAAGAATGTAGACACTGTGAAATTATGAAGGAAAAAGAAATTTGTGTGAGTTTTGCTGTCATACCTCAAAACACAAAAACGTATGGCCCGGAGCGCCTACGTGTGTAGTTAAAATGGAAAAGGCATTAAACTTGTGGGTGGAAAGACATGAACAGAAACATGTTCCAATGGACAGCAATCAGGTTCAGTACTACCTATGGTTTCAGCAACCCACTGGGGGTCTTAGAATGTATACCCTTTGTATGAAAGGAGACTACTGTATTCTGCACAGCAAAGACTTAAGGAAAGGAATGAGGAACATGAAGAGAAATACAAAGTTAAAACAGGAGGAAGAACTGTGGCGAAATGAAGTGACTCTGAAGATTGAACGGATTTAATATATGTGAAAATGATCTGTACATTGTAAAACACCATTCAAGTGTCAGAATCATTATTTTCCACCACTTATCATGGTGCTTGATAACTCTTCCCAATAAATACTGAATGAATAAATAGCAGAAACATCAAAATGAACACTGTGAGGAGAGGCAGAATCAGAAATTTGCCTGAATAAATGTTTATTCCATTTATCATCCTCCTAATATGTGTGAATCTTTTCTCTATGTAGACTTTAAAAATCATTGACTTTTTGCATTCAGAATGAAAAAATAACTGAATACAGAGATTAATTGAATAACATTAAGCTTAAGTAAATCAGGAGGCAAAATGATCT